GTTGTCCCACAGTGCTCAGTTCAGTGGTATACCCACCAGACATGTGGTAAATAGTTGGACAGCTGGGAAATCTTAACATGAAGTATTGTTTTGATTGGGGGGGTGGGGGTGCAGAAGAACGTTTACCAGGTCCTATGGTGAGAAATCAGTCTCTGCTTTGTGGAGAAAAGGCTGAAGACACAATAAGAGTTAAGTCTTACGTTATTTGTTATTAAAGAGGCGAAGTCTTAAGATGTGCTTTTTAACAGTCTTTAGTTTGGTTGTAATTTAAGATGACTTTTACAAATTAGATCCTAATCCTTGCAGACACAGGTGGCTGTTAACAGAATAGCCTTGCAAAAACACTAGTCATTTGACTTGAAAGAGCATTCAGACAAGGATGAAGGGCCATTAACTCTCATCCTACCCGTGACTCTAGGAGGTCTAAGGAGTCCTGGGTGGGCTTTCTGGGTTTAGGTCTGGGTCTGGAATCTGGGTGGGCCTAGGGCTTCTGTTCTCATTTGGAACAGCTTCTCTAGGTCACTCTGGAATCAGAGATTTAGGTCAGACTGGAGATCATTACCATTTGACAACAGTAACTAAATACTTATGTGTGAGGTACCATGATGGGAACTTCAGGGGAGGTAGACATGAACATGATATGGACAGCCTTTGTAAAAAATTATAGAACAACAGAACAAGTGCTATGACAGAGGAATGTACAAACTGCAATGGGTACATAGGTGAGGAGCTTGGGAGGAGGGGAGGGCTTCTGAGAGGGGATGACATTTGAGCTGGGCATTAAAAGATGAGGTCAATGTATCATATGACCTCACTGATATGAGGAACTCTTAATCTCAGGAAACAAAGTGAGGGTTGCTGGAGTGGGGGGTGGGGTGGGAGGAATGGGGTGACTGGGTGATAGACACTGGGGAGGGTATGTGCTCTGGTAAGCGCTGTGAGTTGTGCAAGATTGTTGAATCTCAGATCTGTACCTCTGAAACAAATAATGCAATATATGTTAAGAAAAAAAAAAAAAGAAGACAGCAGGAGGGGAAGAATGAAGGGGGGGAAATCGGAGGGGGAGACGAACCATGCGAGACGATGGACTCTGAAAAACAAATTGAGGGTTCTAGAGGGGAGGGGGGTGGAAGGATGGGCTAGCCTGGTGATGGGTATTAAAGAGGGCACGTTCTGCATGGAGCATTGGGTGTTATGCACAAACAATGAATCATGGAACACTACATCTAAAACTAATGATGTAATGTATGGTGATTAACATAACAATAAAAAATTAAAAAAAAAAGATGAGGTCAAACAGGCCAGGAAAAGTGGGGAGGGTGGATATTCAAGGAAGAGAGAACACAGTTCAAGAGCACAGAGGCATGAGAATCTTTTGTGTCTTCCATGAATAGTGAGCAATCTCTTATCTCCTGGTGACAGAAATACGTAATGAGAGGCAGAACTTAAAGTGGGAAAGGTAGGTATGACCGTGAAGAGTTTTTGAAAAACATTCTAAGGGGTCTATCCTCATCCCAGGGCTATAAGGAGCTTTTAATGAGTTTTTATTTATTTTTATTTTTAAAAATATTTTATTTATTTATTTGACAGAGAGAGACGGCGAGAGAGGGAATACAAAACAAGGGGAGTGGGAGAGGGAGAAGCAGGCTTCCTGCCAAGCAGGGAGCCCGATGCAGGGCTTGATCCCAGGACCCTGGGATCATGACCTGAGCCAAAGGCAGACGCTTAACAACTGAGCCACCCAGGCGTCCCTATTAATGAGTTTTTAACAACAAAGGGAATGATCAGAATAGGGCTTTAGAAAAACCACTCTGTGCAGATAATATCAGGTTGACCAAGGACCATAAAATGGACCTGTGATGGATATTGGGAAGCTCTTGATTCCTCCTAGAGAAGCAAGCCTCTGGTTAGACTTTTCCTCTGGGAAACTGGGACAAACTTGATCTAAACTGCTTTGGGGGCACCTGGGTGGCTCAGTCATTAAGCGTCTGCCTTCGGATCAGGTCATGATGGCAGGGTCCTGAGATCAAGCCCTGCATCGGGCTCCCTGCTCAGCGGGAAGGCTGCTTCACCCTCTTCCACTCCCCCTGCTTGTGTTCCCTCTCTCGCTGTGCCTCTCTCTGTCAAATAAATAAATAAAATCTCAAAAAAAGAAACAAAAACACTTCTTTAAAAAAAAAAAGAGTACATTTTCTCTAAGACTAGGTGATTGATCCTCCATTTAGGGCAAATCCACAGTTAACACAGTCTGCACTGAAAAGGCTGAGTGCTGGATCAGTAGAACTTGAAGCGGGTAGGTAGCAGGCTCAAGAACCTTCTGCATTTCACCTCACAGTTCCCTTGCTTATTTGCAACAACAACTTTGTACAGTCTACATTTCTGCCTTGTGGGAAGAGGTCACTAATACTGACCATAAAATCCAGCTTCTTTAGAGATTTGCCCCCCAACCCTACCTCCAGTAATCAGGTTTAAAAATTAATTTGAAAGAAAATAAAGTTTAATTTTAAATGCCAGCAAAGTCCTTAGATTCTATCTCTTCTAGTACTTTCATTTTCAAATGAAAGGCCCAGAAGGGGAGTGCCTTAAAACCAAGGGTTGGGATCTTAGAAGTTCTCATCACAAGGGAAAAAAAATTTATAAATATGTATGGTGATGGATATTAGCTAGACTTACTGTGGCGATCATTTCACAATGTTCACAAATACTGAATTATTATGTTGTACACTAGAAACTAATATAAAGTTATATGTTAATTATACTTAAATACAACAAACAAACAAAAAAACAAGAATTGGGAGAGACTAAGTTAGCTCCTAAGTTTTATAAGTTCTTTAAGAGAGATGTTCATCATAGAACAGTAAGTATGAGAACCAGGCTGATCTTGAACCCCTTGCTAGTGGCTCTTTCCTAAGTGTTTATACATTTAGAGTTTAACTTCAGTGTCAGAATTAAAGTAGTTTCTTACCTGGCTATGCAGTACACAGAGCATGTACACACATGTGTTCCCTGAACATGTTTGTGTGTGTTATATATGAACAAAGAGGAAGAGCTTGGAGCAGTAGGTGGGGCTAGTAAGACAGGAGCCAATGGCCAGCACCTAGGGTCTATTCTAGTTTCCTTGGCTTAGACATAAGTAGTAGGATCCTCATCCCACCTAGGAATTTTGTGGCTGAGTGGTAGGGCTAAACATATACCACTGGCTTCTGTCTCTACTCTACAAATCTGACAGTCACTGTGAGGGACTAAGATGAACCTTAATCAAATTCTTGGTTTTGTGTTTTAGATGAAGTCTAAGTTACTAGATCTCATAAATATTAGATCAATTAAATGGAATCATAGACTATTAAGATTTACTGTGTATCTTAGAGGTAAGCTAGTCTAAGCCCCACCCTATTTAAAGTAGGAACACCGGGAATGAATCCTTCTCCACATAAGTCTAGTACTGCTGAAAAGGAATCAGTTAGTAGTGTTGGTTATCTCCAATGTCAGGAAAACCACTACTTCATGATACAAGATATTCATTCCCTCTTTAGAAAATACTTTCTTATATTGGGCCAAAATTGCCTCCTGTAACTTTCAAATCATTGGTCCCAGTTCTGTCCTTTGAGCCTCACAAAGTAAGATCCCTCTTTTTCATGGCAGGCCTTCAAGTAGCTGAAGACAACAATCAAGTCTCCCATGGCCTTTCCATCTCTAGAGGAAATGTTCCTCAAATTATATGATTCCCAGTTCCCTCGTCTTCCCACTAGCCCTGCTCTAGACATGCTTTTTTTTCCTTCAGGCTTCAGAATGGAGTCTAAGGATTCTTTGAGAGTGAATTTATTTTAGTACAGAGTTGAATAGGACCATTAAGTTATCCTCTCGGGATTATACCTCCAGAAACGCAGCTAGCATTTTCTTAGCAGCCACAACACAATAATGTATATTCAGCTCAATTCAACCATAACCTCTGATAACACATGGTCTTTCCATCCCAAATGTGAGTAATTAATTCTCTAAATTTACTGTGGGAATCTATCTCTGAATATTTCTGTAAAATTCTTATAGGTTCATTTCTTTTTTTTTTTAATTTATTTATTTGAGAGAGAGAGAATGAGAGACAGAGAGCAGGAGAGGGAGGAGGGTCAGAGGGAGAAGCAGACTCCCTGCTGAGCAGGGAGCCTGATGTGGGACTCGATCCTGGGACTCCAGGATCATGACCTGAGCCGAAGGCAGTCGCTCAACCAACTGAGCCACCCAGGCGCCCCCTTATAGGTTCATTTCTATTGTTTTAGTATTTTAAGGTTTTCTTGAATCTTATTTTTCATAATCTATAAATCTGATAAAGTCTTCATGTAAGTTCCAGTAAGCATGGTGAGTAATAAGGGATTAAATATAGAACCTCTTGGTTCCTTCTAGGGAGAGGATAATCACTTAGTCAACACTTTTTGGATACCATCATTTAATAAGCAATGAAACTACCTAGCTATAGATTTATATCTTTCTACTTTGCCCCAGGATACTATTAGAGACTATCAAATACCATGCTGAAATACAGAAACACAGTGAATACAGGTCATCCTCTGTGACTTTCCAGGATAGTAAGAACTATCAAATCACAAAATACTCTTGGTTTAGCATGTCTTAGTGAACCTATACTCACTGATTCTGATTGAATTGTTAAGCTGTTAGGCACACAATTCTCAGATCTATTCTGAGGTATACAAAGATGCGATCTTGGGAAAGCCTATATGGATGGTGGAATAGGGAAAATAGCTAGGAAGGAAGAAAGACCTAGTACCTAATTTCTTCTATAGGCTCCTGGGCACAAGTCTGTTGGCCTGGGAAGACATACCTTCTCCGAAGCCTGAGGACAGAATGGTGTGCAGAACAAAGTACTCCTAGGTGTATGGTCTTGTAGTAGGCTGTACCATGGGACTTTTCTTGGACTATTTTGTCCAGCCTTAATGATGGGATATCTCCCACTGGACACATTTCCTAAAATAGGCATGTGAACTTACGTCTCTCCTAGGAAAGGTACTCAGTAACTTGAACTCGTCCCATGGAAATCCTTTGGAAGCTACAAAATCAAAGACAATCTGGAGCTTATTGCTGGCCAGGAATCGCCGCTCGAGGAACTCGCCACTGGGGGTCCGGATCCGCAGTTTGCTCACGGGTTCAGCATTTTCTTCCTTTGGCTCTGGAGGCAGGGCCTGCTCTAAGGAGAGCCGGATGGCCTAAAGAAGGCAAAAACCAGGTGTCAAAGTGTGTGATATATAGGACTGTGGGGAATGGGGCAGGGAGAGCCTAGAAGAAAACTGCTGCTTTGTATAAACCCATCAAAAAGTTACTGTCCATTTATTAACCAAGTCTGATGCTTGACAATAGAATCATGTTTTTCATTTTCTTAATATTAGCCCAATAAGCAATTAATTAAAATAAGTCCCACCTTGATGATATGTGTTATTAAATTGATAGGTAATCACATAGAAAATAAATGTAATTTAATTGTTCTTTACTGAAGGGCTCAGGTGCTTGTGATTGAGGAAAGAGGTATCAAATACCTAATTGCTTCCTTTCTAGGGTATGAATTAAAGCTATTAGAAACATTTACAGAAGACACACATGTAAATAATATATTTGAAAAACACAGATTTCCCAAATCAAAATAACTAAAGAGTTTGTAGAATACTAGATATTATATTAACATCAAAATGGAGTGGAAAGATTCACTTGGGATGATGAAAAACTTTGGAAATAGTGGTGATGGCTGCATGACATTATGAATATAATTAATGCCACTGAATTGTACACTTAAAAATGGCTACAAAGGCAAATTTCTATTATATGTATTTTGCTACAATAAAAAGAAAGTGGAATGGAATGGAAAGAAATTAAAATATCAGGTTTATTGGAGGTAGGAGACCATAGTCTTAGTTCTAGCCTTGTCACTAACTTGCTGTGGGATTTGGCCAAGTCCAGATTTCCGGACCTAGAGATGGCTCAAATTCTTCATTTCACAGGTAAAAATACAGATTCAAATAGGTGGAATAAACTGTTGAGAGATCTCATGATTAGAGCTGGGCTTGAGCCCAGGTTTCCTGGTTCTCAACATATAATATTGCATTGTTTCACATTCATGATACATTCTGTTAGATACTCCACTAGAAGTTAGAAGGTCTCTGATGTAGGAATCTATGGCAGAAATTCACGAAAACCTTTTTGTTTCTAGTACTCCAGGAAGCTCCTTAGGTAAGTCCGGTATCAGCATGCTCAGTCTCACAGTTATATTCTTGCCTGGTTACTTTGACATTTTCATGTTCCCAATTTGTCATCAATAGAAAAACAAAATATTCCCTCAATTGATCTACAACTATTTTTTTAAATTAATTTATTTGAGAAAGAGAGAGAGAGAAAGAGAAAGAGCGAGCATGAGCAGGGGTAGGAGCAGAGGGAGAGGGACAAGCAGACTCTGTGCTGAGCATGGAGCCTAGCCAAAATCAAGAGCTGGAGGCTTAAATGACTGAGCCACCCAGGCACCCCAACCTACAACTATTATAATCAAGTAACATGAGTGAAATCTTGCCACTTGCAACAACATGGATGGAGCTACAGAGTATAATGCTAAGTGAAATAAGTCAGTCAGAGAAAGACAAATACCATATGATTTCACCCATATGTGGAGTTGAAGAAACAAAACAAATGAGCAAAAGGGAAAAATGAGAGAAAAGAGAGAGACAAACCAAAAAACAGACTTGTAAATTATCGAGAACAAACCGATGGTTACCAGAGGGGAGGTGGGCAGGGGGATGGGTGAAATAGGTGATGGGGATTAAGGAAGGCACTTATCGTGATGAGCACTGGGTGATGTATGGAATTGTTGAGTCACTATACTGTACACCTGAAACTAATATAACACTGTATGTTAGCTGGAATTAAAATAAAAACTTTAAAAAAACTGCCTTTGAGATTAAAAAATATTTTTCCTGATTATAAACATAATGTATATAATCATTGCAAAAATAAATGATAAGAAAAGCATTACAATTAATTACCAGATTCACCATCGAGAGATAGCCACTGCTATCCTTTGAGTGTTTACACCCATTAATTTTTTAAACCATTTTTAAGTGTACAATTTAGTGGCATTAAGTACATTCACAATGTTGTGTTACCATCACCACCATTTTTTTCTAAAACTTTTTCATCACCACGCTCTCCATCAATTTTTTGTGCATATTTTTATATAAACATATATATTTTAAACTTTTTTTACAAAACTTGAATCATTGTTATATTGTACAATGCTTTATCTTTTGTCCAAAGTCATGCACTTTGTCATTGTTTTAAAGTTTTTATTGAAATGTAACATGTATATGAAAAAGTGCATTGTATAGAGATAGCGTACAACAGTGTAGAACTTGATAAATTTTCAGAAGTGAACATACCTATGTAAGTGGCACCCTGATCAAGCATCTCAGAAGTCCTTTAATCCCCTTCCTAAAAATTATCTTCCTTAATCACTATCTGCAGTTTATTTATTTATTTAAAGATTTTATTTATTTATTTGACAGAGAAAGACACAGCGAGAGAGGGAACACAAGCAGGGGGAGTGGGAGAGGGAGAAGCAGGCTTCCTGCTGAGCAGGGAGCCCAATGCGGGGCTCGATCCCAGAATCCTGGGATCATGACCTGAGCCGAAGGCAGACGCTTAACGACTGAGCCACCCAGGTGCCCCACTATCTGCAGTTTAAAAAACTTTAATAATTAAATGTGATGTCTGGCTAGGAAATAGGCTTTGGGTATGACAGACAGAGGTTCAAATCTTGGCTATTAGGCATATGACAGTCTTTATGAACTTCAGTTACCCCATAGAAGAAATAGGGCTGATAATACCTTTCTCAAAAAGGTTTTTGTATAAAATGCAGTAATGTTTATAAAACATTTAGCAAGTGCTAACACATAGCCAGCACTCAGTAAGTCCCTAGCATGGAACCTCATGATGTAATATTGTGCTCAACAGATGACAGTTGTTATTGATGTTGTTATCATTATCATTATTATAATCCCTCTGCACCTACTTTAAATCAGAACTTAATATGGTATTTCCTGGTTTCTCCTCCTGTTCTCCATTTAATCCACCTGTCTGCTTGCTTTCTATTTTGACATTTCCCTGCACAGTATAACAACAGATGCTACATTATTGTCTGAACTCAACCAATTATACTAGAGAAGAATAAACAACAGTAGCTCATTACCCCACTCATTGTGCAGACATTATCCGCTTCCTCAATGCACCCAGTCTGTAGAGCTTTTCCCCAGAATGAAAACAGACCTCAGATATCCCACACCAGTGGTCCCAATGTGGAAAACAATGAAGAGATATTAGGTAAGTTGGCAACCTTGGGATCTGAATACCCAAGTTTTACCGGTAAAAAAGAACAAATATACATCAGTAGCTCAGTTTCAAATATACTGGCTAAAAACAAAGGCCTCATATAAGTAAACATTGTTATAAAACAATGACATAAAGGACACCTACACTTGAATAGCAGTCATAGTATAAAGACCATTGTTAAACTTCAATTTGGTTTGCTCAACAAATATAATTTTTTATTTGCATTATTTTATGTTTGTAACAAAGCAAGGAAACCTAGTATAAGTTGGAAATAAAAATTGACCTTGGACTTTTTGTTTTACTAAAAAATATGAATACTCAAAACATTCACATCTGAGGGATGAGAAATGGGGACTTCTTGGAAGTGAAATCTGGTAGTAAAGATAGACACCCAGAAAAGATAGTTTCTACACAATTATATTTTTTTAAACAGGAAAAATAATATATACTCACACCACTCTCTTACAATAAAAATCAAGGACTGACTTAATTTACACACATACATACACAAATACATAAATACATGCATGCACATATTATCTTCTAGGCTTCTATGAGTACCCACCAAGTAACAGTTTATAGCTGGTTGAGGCAGAGTTTGAAATAGGCTAAAGCTAACAGCTATTAATTCCATGAATTCTTACTGAGCACCTCCTATGTGCCGGGCATTGTTCTATATGATAGGAAAATATCAGTGAACAAAATAGATAAAAAAAAAATTCTGCTTACATGGAGGCTATATTTTAGTAGGGTGGAAGAAAGACAACAAATACACACATAGGAAAATGTACAGTTTGTCACAAAGTGATGAGTGCTATGGAAAGAGTGCAGGGAGGCTGGTAGAAAGGAGGGAAGGGTACAACTATAAACTCCGTAAGCCTTGGGGTGCCTGGGTGGCTCAGTTGGTTAAGCCTCCAACACCTGGGTTTGGCTCAGGTCATGATCTCACGGGTGGGGAGATGGAGCTCCTCGACCGATGAGCCCTGCATTGAGCCCCACACTCAGTAGGGAGTTTGCTTGAGATTCTCTCCCTCTGCTCCTTCCTCCAGGAGCACACACTCTCCCTCTCTCTCTCTCTAAAATAAATAAATCTTAAAAAAAAAACCCACAGACACACATAAAACAAACCAACAACTCTGTAAACCTCAATAAGCAAAAAACTGTAGGCCAGCGAGCAAACACCTAAAAGAGAGAGGGAGTCACATGGACATTCAGATCAGAGAGAAGTATTACGGGCAGAAGTCACAGTAACTGCCAAGCCCTGGTGTCTGGCTTGACTGAGGATAATGTGGCTGGAGCAGAAAGATCAGAAGAGGGGGATGGAGGTGGTTAGAGAAGGAATCAAAGGAGAGGGGTGAGTAAATCATACATGGCTTTGAGTAGCCCAGAGAATGATTTTTTTCCCATTTTAAAATTGAGGTATAATATAAATAAAGTAAAACCCATCCCTCTAAATGTATAGTTCTGTGAGTTTTGATAAATGCATATCATCATCAATCAAGGTAAAGAACAGTTCTGTCACCCCCCCACCCCACCCCCCCGCCGCAATTCCCTCATTCCTAGCCCCTGGCAACTTCAATCTGTTTTCTGTCCCCAGTTCTACCTTTTCTAGAATGTTATATAAATGTCATATAAATGGCTTCCTTCTTTTAGTGTAATGCATTTGAAATTCATCCATATTATTGACTGTATCAGTAGTTCATTCTTACTTATTGCTAAGTGGTATTCCATTGTATAGATAGATATACCAGTTTGATTACTCCTTCTCCAGTTGGGGGACACTTGAGTTGTTTCCAGTTTTTGGTGACTACAAATAAAGTGACTATAAACGTTTATGCACAGATTTTTGTGTGAACCTAAATTTTACTGTTAACTTTCATTTCATCTGTGTAAATACCCAGGAGCCTGACTGCTTGGTCATATGGTATGTATATATTTAACTTTAAAACAAAGTGCCAAATTATTTTCCAAAACGGATGTGCTATCATTAATGACTGTCATCATTAATATATAAGAGTTCCAGTTGTTCTTCATCTTTGCCAGTAGTTTTTTCTTTCAAAAAGCCATCTAATTGGTGTGTACCTATTATGGTTTTAATTTGCATTTCCCTAATGACTAATAATGTTAAGCATCTTTTCACGTGCTTATTTGCCCTTGTGTAGATCTTCTTTGATGAAGTGTCTGTTTAAATATTTTGCCCATTAAAAAATTTGGGTTATTTGTTTTATTATTGAATGTTAACAGTTCATTATGTATTCTGGACAATAGATATATGATTTTCTCAGTCTGTGGCTTGTCTTTTCAATTTTTTTTTTTATTTTAAAGATTTTATTTATTTTTGACAGAGAGAGTGAGTGTACAAGCAGGGTAAGCAGCAGACAGAGGGAGAGGGAGAAGCAGGCTCCCCGCTCAGCAGGGAGCCCAATGTGGGGCTCGATCCCAGGACCCTGGGATCATGACCTGAGCCGAAGGCAGATGCTTAACCGTCTGAGCCACCCAGGCTCCCCAGTCTTTTGAATTTCTTAACAGTGTCGTTTGAACAGTAGAAGTTCTTAATTTTGATTTAGTCTAATTTAGACACTTGTTATTTTATGGATTATACTTTTGGTGTCAGATCTAAGAAATCGTGGCTTAACTCAAGATCATGAAGATTTTGTTTTCTTCTAGGACTTTAATTTACTGATTTCACTACAACAAAGCGAGACCAACCACTAAGGAATTTCCCTGTAACCAAGGTGATCTGACTACACAATACTTCCATCTTTCCAAAGGATTTTGAAATACTAGAGATAATTAAGATAATAAAACCATTCTTGTTTTTCAATACAATTATATGGGTTAGGATTTCTGGTTAGAAGGAGAGGCAATATTACTGTGAAAAGTCAGGTGACCAGGCTTCTAGTCCAGATTATGTATCCAACCAGTTTGGTGACCATAGGCAAACTGTATAATCTTCCTGAGTCTCAGTTTCTTCAGAGGTTGCACAATACCAGCTTTCCCAAAGAACTGTTTGTTGTACATGAGCGTGCTGAAATATGTTAATTGGTGCTCCACAAAGAAAAGGGTCAAATAAGTTTGGATAAGACTTAATTAAATCAAGATACACAGAAGATAAATAGTTTCTTAATGGTGGGATTTATAAGAGTCTTTATTTGTGACTCTCTGGAGCACTAGCTGAACTTGGTTTTTTTGGACTTTAAGTATAATAACGACTAGTTGCAAAATACGACTTGTTCTCCCTCCCTCTGTGCCCCACCCTCTCACATGTTTACAGCGGGAACATATATGTTGAGGTATGCTAAAGGATGTTTATGGGGTCTTCTATGAGAGAACAGGCTTTATCTGTATTGGGAAAGAGAAAAAATTTTAGCCCAGGGTAAAAAAGGTAAACCATCAGAAGAAAGTACATGTACCATCAAGCTCTAGATCCAGGACATGCAGTTAATTGAGTACACTTGACATTTATCAAGTATATGGTTGAAGATACACTATTGAGAGACAGCATGTGCATTGTGAAAGAACAGGAAAGAACGAGAGTCCTAAATTTTTAAACTATATTTCTTGAAATAGCCTAAAAGCATAATGACAAATCTGTCTCTTAACTTTTGTAAAACTCTGCAAACATGATTCCTATAGACACACAGAATGATATATGACCTTGTACTGGAATGGAGTAAGTGAAAGAGCATGGACTTTAGACCAATAAAGACCTAGGTGAGAATCTCAGCTGTTTTTCCATTTCTATGTGTGACTTTTCAATGAGCTTCAGTTTTCTCACTTGTAAAGAAGTCTCTAACCTTGTAGCTTGTTTTAATGGTCAATGAGTAAGCATATGTAAAGCAGCTAGAAAAGTACTTGATACACAGAAGATGTTCAATAAAATATTTTCTACCTTCCATTACTAAGAGTCCTCAGTGTACAGAGACCAGGGTTTGTCAGGCACAGTATCTTGTACATATGTGATAGGCACTTAATAATGTGTATGAAGATGAATAAACTTTGATTTCCAAACCATGAAATATTATACATCTTTCAAGACCTGACTCAAATATCACTACTTCTATAGTGTGGTCTGTTTCTCAAAGCTTAACAGATTTTTACTTTGCCAATGAACTCTCTAAGTATTTTGCTCTTACTTCTATGTTATTTGGCACAGTTTTTCCTTGATTTGCTGTTACTTGTAGACATGCTGTATCTTCCCTACAAGATGCAATCTCTTCTTGCAGGCAGAAACTGTTTTATTATCTTCTGTTTCTCTTTCAGTGTTTAGCATAGTTCTTCTTCAAAAAACATATATCGAATAAGTGCTAGGTAACATCCTCTGACCGGGAATGATGACTAATAGAGTTTTCCTCAGCTCAAATTAGGGCCCTTTGGGCCTTTCCATCACTTGTTAGATGGCTTTCTCTTTTTATAAGTAAATCTTGCTATTAATCCCATGTCTCGAAAAAGTTCTAAAAATCTGTTTTTGTGACACCCCTTCTCTTTGTTCCCACTGCACTTTAGGCAAATCTCTGTTACAACTTTTACACATAGTTTTGTAATTCTATTTTTAGAAGACTATGAACTCCTGGTGGGGATGACCCACATCTGTATCCCTACCCCCTAACAGATTTTGGGATGTACTAAGTATTCAAAAAAATATTTGCAAGATGAGTGAATGAAAAATTCTATTATTATGAACATGACATGAACTTGGGGGTAAAAATAAACCATGTTAAATGGATTTCCCATACATAGGGGCCCAGTGCAAGATGTCACAGAAGTAACTCACAGTGTTTTTTGGTGGGGAAAATGAAGACTGGGAAAGGGCAGAAAATACAGTCTCTGTATTCTTGGGATGAAACAATATCCAAGAGGGATGCGAGCACTGGTCATGCAAGAAAAGGGAAAAGCAATTGAAAACAACAGAAAACCATGAATCTAGTACAAGGTCAAGCTTTCTAAGAGTTCCACACAAGAGAGCAGGAATGATTCTTTTAAGGAAAGGTTAGGTTTTCCATACTAAAACGAGTCTGGAAAAGGTGGAAAGAAGTCATAAGAAATATTAACAGCCTCAGTTATCAACTGCAGTGGAAATAAACCTAGCTTTTGAATAATGTTACTTGAAATTATGCCTACCTCACGTTCCTCTTCTTGTTCTTTGCGAATCTGCTCCAAACGAAACTGTTCTGCCATCTCTCTCTCATGAGCTTCCCTCTGTCAATGAAAGAGAAAGGAAGCCAGCACTCAATAAACACTGGTTTACTTAAAAAGGAGAAGAAAAAAAAAAGAACTCACTCCCAGCACTGTGATAATAGAAATGTTTTTTTCTGGAACAAGAATGGAAATGGAAGCAACAACAAAGCATAGCTCTCAGCTCATGTTGAGTACCCATTCAAACACCTGGGTAGTTCTGGGTAGTGTGGCATTCAAGATCCATCAGAAGACCTTTCTCTGGTCTTCCTTTCTGGTCTTTTCTGCTACTTCTCCTGTACCCAAATATCAAGCTCTAGTCACATCAGCTTCTATCATGCACCCATGCTTTCTGGCTCCTTGCGGCTAGCATATACCACCTCTTGTCTCCTACCCCTTTTTTCTACTTAGTACACATATACAACCTCTTTCATGAAACCCTCTCCAATAGATTCCCACTTATTAGCTCTCCAGAAAAGCTGGAACAGACTTTCCACTGAAACTCCTGTTCACTAATCTCTCAAAAAACTCAGGGCTTCCCTTATGACTTTTAGGACCCTTGTGTAAGTATTATAGCTAACTGTGTTTTTGAGTTAATCTATTCTACACCATATTGTGAGCCTTCTTTTGAGGGCAGAAACTGTGGCTTATTCATTTCCCTCTCCTTCAATGCCCAGTAGAGAAGTAGGTACTCAAGAAATATTAAATAAATTAATGGTTCTCAGTGTTCTCAACCCTGATTGCACAGTAGAAATCACATGAAGAGCTTTTAAAACATTGCTAGGTTTTTACCACAGACTGATTAAAAGACAAGGAAAATAAATATTAGGCCCATTTTTGTTTTCATATTTCATGATTCTTAAAAAACTTTTTGTTGTCAAATGAACCATTCTTTAAGAACCAAGGGTAGAATTATGTTCTGTTAATTGAATCTAGCTTACTCCATTGCAAACCCAACATTCTTAGGGATCAAAGTGATAAAAGGACTGGCAATTAAATAATAAAAGACTATTTAGGATTGAGTTCTTTATCTCAGAAGTCCTTTGACCAAACCTACCTTTGCTCTGTCAGCCTCAAGTGAAAGGCGATAGGCCTCATCTTGCTCTCTCTTCACATTTTCTCTGGCTTCACGTTCATCCTTAGAAGAAAGGAAAAGATTCAAATGTGTTTTACTATATTACTTTTTTAAAAGAAGAAAACAATGATAATCCCCTTGTCTACTCCTGTGTGAATTTATTAGAATTAAATAAGGCACTTCTAAAGTATATAGGTTAGAAATAAGCAAACAAGCAAGAAGAGCAGCACAGCAGATAGTGAAATAAGAATGTCTGGAGCCTAGCTCTACCACTTATAAACTGTGACCTTGGGCAAGTTATTTAACCTCTCTGGATCTCAGTTTCTTCAACTGTAAAATAGAAATAGTATTTGTTTTATAGGGTTGTTGTGAGAATTAAATGCAATAATACATAAACTGTCTTGCAAAGCACCTGACAGTTCATTTTTACAATGATTAGTTCCCTTCCCCTTTTCTCCTGATTTTTCTAAGATAAACTTGGAGACTGTCACCACTGGGGCTAAGGACTGGGAGAGAGTAAAGGACTAGAAAGTAAGCCTCTGGTCAGCATAAGAAGCGGCTGAAAGCAAAATACCCTGGTTAACTACAGTCCACATCACACCAGTGAAGCTTGGTTATTGAACTAAGTATTCCCCACAACGCTCACACTCATGAAGTGTGGATGACTTAGCAGTTATCCAAGTTGGAGATCTTTTAAAACATTTTTAGCTTCTGAAGTGATTGTGTCATCTACCTACATTTAAATCGTTACTTCATATGAAATTAAAAGTTCATTCAACTACCGTAATTTCTCATTTGTTAAATTTTGAAGTATAGCCAATGTACATGTACTTAAATTTAATAAATAGCCACACCTGTTGACATTAGAATATAGGTTCCCTTTTGGGCCATTTTGTGTAATAGCTGAGCGAATCATATAAAGTCACCAATATTTGACTGTTTTTGACCTCTAAAAATGGAAATTTCATATGGTTTAACTTAGTACTTTCTAAGTTTTTGGCTCCCCAAGTCAGTATATACTTAGGTGCTCTCACTGATACCTATTCAAGACTGGCCTTCTCTCTGAAGTCTCAATCTCCTTTTAGTTTCAATGATTCAACTAATCCCAAAATCTCTGATATAAATAGTAACATTTCACTGATTCCCAATCTTTTAAATAAAAAATCTGGAAGAATTATAAGTTGCTGGCCTAAAGCTAATTGCTGTATTATCTATGATGAAAGGGTATGCTATGTGAATTATATGGTGGAACACAGTTTCAGGAATAATATTTAACTACCTGAGAGACCACTCAGGCTGCAAAGCATTCAAGGATAATTTACATGTCATATAATATTACACATGAATAAAAATAGGTTTTAAAAACATCTATTTGGAGACATGTACTAAGCCATTAGTATTTATATTTTAGAGAAATAGAAGCATATACCTTTAAATATATTTTCACTAATTCCAGCTGGATATTTCCCACTTTGGTATATACATTAGGTTTTACTGTGACCAGATACAATCAGCCTGATAAGGTATATTTTGTGCATTTCTATTTATATTAGCATTTGCTTAATTCATTACTTTGAATTCCTTCTCCCACTCAATATCCAAGTTTGTACACCATGGCCACTTAATAGTTAATTTGGCCATGGTTGATCTATATTTGATATATAATGTCTTTATTTTTTTAAGTCACTGAGGAGAGGTAATGGGGGGGGTGCGATTAGCAGATCTGTGTTTAAGTCCAATCCCTGCCAGTAGCAAGCTGTGTGTTCTAGGATAAATAACGTGTCCCTTTTCAGTCATTTATTAAATTAAAGGACTGGATTTCTAAGGATTTTATGCCTCTGTGGACAAGTCTATCTTTCCAAATTCAGAAATCCCTAATACAATCAGTATAACCTATGGGAATATTATCTTTCTATATTTCAAATGGAGAAACACTTAGGATGTCTAAAATTTTAATTTTACATCACTTTCTTGACCCTGGCCCTCCAAATTAGTTAAAGTTTCTCTTGTAACATTCTGTACTTTCCCTTTAAAACATTTATCACAATTGCAATTAATTAATTATCATATAATCATTTACTTAATGTGAGATTCCCCCATGACACTGTAAGCATCGTAAAGGCAGGGACCTTGCCTATATTATACACCTCTATATTCCAAGTGTTTCACACATTGCCTAGTTTTGGGGAGGTGTTTAATAAGCATTTGTTGAATAAATAAATTGTCTTTCCATGCATAAAATATTTATTGTCTGCAGTAAAAATTAAGAAGGAAGAAGACAGCTCATCCACAAAGCAGCCCCATCTGAGTCAATGAAATCAACTGGCTGGGCAGAAATGACACGTTATGACACTATGTACACACAACAAAGGGACCTTCTAAAAGCTACCACAGCTGGAAGCCCTTTGAACACAAATATAGTTGATAATAAAAGCATTCTAAGTAAACAGCTCTGTTTTAAAACAGACTGTTGCAGATATGAAAAGCCATTAAATACAGGGACCTCTGCCACAAAATGTGGCACCTGTTGTGAGAGGACTTCCTGAACAGGCTAACTTGCTTCCTTCCTTCCTTCCCCCCACCCCTCTCCTTTTATATTAGGCATCACACTAGCACTGAGGATACAGAGACAGGCCATAGTTTACTAAGGGAAGACACAGATAGTCATCCTTGGATCACCTTCATCATTATTTTATGGAGCCTACTGACTTACTGTGAAGATTTCAGTGTTCAAGTTTTCTATTATTTTCCTTTTGTTCCTTAAATACTGTCACTCTCTTTCCACCTGGAATAGTTCCTGCTCCGTCATCTCTGTCATTAAAAATCTACCAGCTTGGGGCACCTGGGTGGCTCAGTCGTTAAGCGTCTGCCTTCGGCTCAGGTCATGATCCCAGGGTCCTGGGATCGAGTCCCACATTGGGCTCCCTGCTCAGCGGGAGGCCTGCTTCTCCCTCTCCCACTCCTCCTGCTTGTGTTCCCTCTCCCGCTGTGTCTCTCTCTGTCAAATAAATAAATAAAATCTTAAAAAAAAAATCTACCAGCTTTTCATACACTTTTAGAAATATAAGAGACCAACATGTACAAAAGAGCTACTATATAGATGAAGAAACTGAAATCATATGAGGATAAAGGATTTATACAAGACTACCCATTAGGTGGCAGAGCTTAGACTTGAATCCAGATCTCCTGACAGCTTCCTCTCCCCTCCCAGCTGCAATCCAATGCTCTTTCCTTTGCTCACAGCTCTCCCTGACTATCGCAAATAGAAGGGCTAGCTCAGGCATGTGGCTCAGGATGAATTTTTCTAAACTTATCATGGTCAGAGCTTTTTATGTGTTTGGTAGTTGCTTGTGAATGGCTACCATTTCTTCTTTTCTGTCTTGTAGATTTTATACTTGTTTCTCTAATTGTCCTGTTCACTGTCATCTCCAATCTGGGGATTTAGAGAACACTGCTCAGGCATCTCCCCCATATTATTCTATACAATTAGATTTTTAAAAAGAAAATTCCAGGTGTTGTGGTTAACATTTCATGTACAAACTTGTTCTCATATTCTATAGATGTGCCTCTTGGAACTTCTCCGGTGTCGTACAAATACAGTCCTTGTGGAGTTTCCCCTTGCTAAATCTGAGTGGACAGATTAGACAAAGTGACTAGAAATACATGTATGTTGTGTGGAAGTAGAACAGCTGGATAATCAAGTTCAGAAATAGGTCTCAGGTGCTGCTTGGGCTATGGCTTGGGCTATTTGGCATCAAAATACTCTTTATCACACCAAAATGTGAAGCTGGATTGCTCAGAATGAAGTGATAGCCTCCACTAGAGCCTTTCATTTATAGCATACCTGTCACTGCTCTCATACTGCTTTGTGCTACACTCATTTATATATTTGTCTCACTGTTCCCTACCTGAGCTGTAAGCTCCGAGAGGGAAAAGACTCCATTTGATATGTCCTTCTATTCCCTATGGCATCTAGGGTACCATCTTATATATGGCAAGCATTAAATACGTATCTGTTTGATGAATGAATGGAAGTTCTGGAGCTTCTAAGTATTCAAACTAGTAATGTTTATCTACATGTATTTCTTATCCTGAGTATTATAATGACTTGTTAAGAAGTGCAAAAATTAGAATTCAAACCTAGTCTTTCTCACCCCAAAGCCTATGTTTTTTTCCCACTGTGACATAGTAGGTGGCTCGGTATAGTTCTCTGAGACAGTAGCCATTGAGTCATATTTTTCTACAACCCATTAAAATTAATGAAAACATTCTCAGCTGTCAAATGGTTCCTAAATGAGCAGCTTAAACAGAAATGGAATTTAGGTGTAACTTGTTACTCCTTGGTAGTGTTTAAAATTAGTAATCATCAGTTAATACCCAAAAGACTAATGCAAAATTCTAAATTATCAAACTGAAGCAGCCTATAGTGGTTAGGCTTGTCTCAAATACTTACCAAATACATATACAAGTATGCACATACATATATACACATATGGTATTTGTTATTTATCTGTTCTTCTTGAATGCCCAGGTCAGAATGTACACCTTGCTCTTTGCCCTGATAAGTAAAACCTGGTAAGCAGGGAAATGGCCCTGATATGTATCCCCGAAAAGGTATGGACCAAGATAACTTGAAATTCTCTCAATATAAATACTTAGAGTTAGATAAAATATAACAAAGATATTTAAAAAGTATTACTTAGCATGCAAGAAGGTAAGAAGCAAAGAAAGAGAAATACCTGGGTACCAGAAATAAAGAGGAAACTGAAAAATTAGTGCTGCAAATGAGGAGGTAATATAGAATCTGACAAGGTAGATTACCCATTTTGGTAACCTAGAGGACCAATTGAAACCAGAAGATTTTATTTTGGACCTAAGCAAGGTAGGGAACTGGAAAGTTATCTATGGGATAACTTTTGGCAGTATAGTATTAGTATAATTGGAGTCTGGGAATACGGTGTGGGGGAGGAGGGAGAGAAACCTTATTTTAAGAAATGACGGCCAAAAGTATTCTGAATTTGATAAAAACTAAAAAGCCACAGATCTAAGAATCTAAATGAACA